CCAGGGCTTGGTGGTATGTATATGTATATGTATATATATATACTTCATCATATCCCTTTTTGGCTTTTTCTAGACTCACAGAGCCGAATTGCTTTGGTTCTGCCAGAAGCCAGCCACACTAGTCCATTGATTCTCTTCTCTCTCTTAAAAAAAAAAAAAAAATATATATATATATATATATATATATATATATATATATATTTATTGATTTTTTTACAGTGAGGAAGAGAGAGTTAGAAACATCCATGAGAGAAAATCATCGATCAGCTGCCTCCTGCACACCCCTATTGGGGATGTGCTCGCAACCAAGGTACATGCCCCTGACCGGAATCGAACCTGGGACCTTTCAGTCCACAGGCTGATGCTCTATCCACTGAGCCAAACCGGTTTCGGCTTCTTCTCTTTCTTGTTTTAAATCTTTGATTTACAGAAGTGTATAAATCAGTTTCTTTTTTCCTCTAGTTTATGATAGTGTCATGCATCTTTCCCTTTCGTAGTTCCTTAAGAACAGGCATGTCTCTTTTCGGGTCCAAGGAGCCTAACTCTATGCTGGTGTGGAGTAAAAACTTAGTAAATATTTGGTGAACTAGCCATAATAATGGGGCAATAAACCAGACAGCTTGGGCTAGGTGCCTAAGCAGATTTATATTCCCTAAGTTAGAAATAGAAAATTCTACAAGTCTTTTGGGTTAAAAATTTATTACATACTTGCTATGTGCCAGGTTTCCTTAGACAGTTTTAGGTAGGAGTTTTATAGATAGAAGTCTGATATTTGAAAACTACTATACTCTTGTGTCCTGAGCACTGAGCTAGGCACAGGGAAGCTGTTGAAAAAGAAAAATCCTTGTTCTTCAAGGATGTTGTTTGGTGGAGAGAGACTGACAAAGCGGGATGGTTGTGACAAGGGTGCTGCAGGCACTGGGGAAGCAAGAAGACAAGCTCAAATCTAGTAAAGGAAGTCACTAAAAATCTGTCCAAGGAAGTGATGTTTTAAATAAGTCACAAAAATTTAGCAGTGACTAGTCAAAGAGGAAGAAAAAAAGAATTCCGGGTAGAGCAAACAAGTGTGAAGGCTCAGGTGAGAAAATATGGTATGTTTGAGAAATTGGGAAAAATTCAATAATAGGAAGCCATATTGTGAGAGGAAGAACCATGAGAAATGAGGCTAGTAAGTGGTTGCTCAGAATATGGTGATGGCAGCACAGATGGAGAATGGGAGATGATTAAAAAACTTACACATATATAATAAAATGGATAGGATTTATTGGTTGATTAATTTTAGAGAAGAAAGAGAGGAGTCAAAAATAACTCCTTAGGCCGAAACCGGTTTGGCTCAGTGGATAGAGCGTCGGCTTGGGGACTGAAGGGTCCCGGGTTCGATTCTGGTCAAGGGCACGTACCTTGATTGCGGGCATATCCCCAGTAGGAGGTGTGCAAGAGGCAGCTGATCGATGACTCTCTCTCATTGATGTTTCTAACTCTGTATCTCGTTCCCTTCCTCTCTGTAAAAAATCAATAAAATATATTAAAAAAAACAACAACCTACTGTTAAAAAAATAACTCCTTAGTTTCTGGTTGGAGAATTGGGTGGAGACTAGGGCCATTTACTGAGGCAGAAAATAGGAGCAAGTTTAAGGGGCCAAAAGATATTTTAGGATACTTTTGGATTTAGAAGGTATAAAACTCAGGTATAAAAGTTGAATGTGATGCCGAAACCGGTTTGGCTCAGTGGTAGAGCGTCGGTCTGTGGACTGAAGGGTCCCAGGTTCGATTCCGGTCAAGGGCATGTACCTTGGTTGCGAGCACATCCCCAGTAAGGGGTGTGCAAGAGGCAGCTGGTTGATGTTTCTCATCGACATTTCTAGCTCTCTAACTCTCTCCCTTCCTCTCTGTAAAATATCAATAAAATATATTTTTAAAAAAGTGAGTGTGAGATCATAAAGGGCAGAAATATAAGTCAGATATGAAAAATTTTCAAATACAAAAATAGGTCAAATACATTGATTGAACCAATCTATGTTAGTGTCTATCATGAGCAGGTCTGTGAGAGAGAAAATTATTTTTATATAAATAGCCTGTGTCCTGATAGTACAGTTTAGTTATGAGTATAGACACGTATTTATTTAACTGCAATACATGGCACCGGGTGGTAAACACTAGAGGACAGCTACAAGTCAAGTATTGGGGCACTGCAGAAAAGAAAATGGTTTGTCGGGGACTCTTTCCCCCTCCCCTGGTGGGAGTCTGTATTTGTTCTTCAATAAATCTCCACCTTTGCTATACCAAAAAAAAAAAAAAAAAAAAAAAGCCGAAACCGGTTTGGCTCAGTGGTAGAGCGACGCTCTGCGGATTGAAGGGCCCCAGGTTTGATTCCGGTCAAGGGCATGTACATTGGTTGCGGGCACATCCCCGGTAGGGGGTGTGCAAGAAGCAGCTGGCCGATGTTTCTCTCTCATCGACGTTTCTAGCTCTCTATCTCTCTCCCTTCCTCTCTGTTAAAAATCAATAAAAAATATATTTAAAAAAAAAAGAAGAAGAAAGAAAATGGTTTGTCAATGACTGTGTGGAGGAGTGGGCTTTCAACTGGGCTTGAAAGGGAGAAAGGTATTTTGGACTTAAGGAATAACAAAGTAAAAAAATAAAATAAAAATAACAAAGTACAGCCGAAGCCGGTTTGGCTCAGTGGTGGAGCGTCGGTCTGCGGACTGAAGGGTCCCGGGTTCGGTTTCGGTCACGGGCATGTACATTGGTTGTGGGCATATCCCTGGTCGGGGGTGTGCGGGAGGCAGCTGGTCAATGTTTCTCTCTCATCGATGTTTCTGGCTCTCTATCTCTCTCCCTTCCTCTCTGTAAAAAAAAGTCAATAAAATATATTTAAAAAAAAAAAAAAAGTACAAAAACCTGCAAGTTCATATGATAGGTTCAGAATACAGTGGGTTGATGGTATGGCTGGAGTTTAAGATTCTTAGAATATTAGAGTTACAGATAAGACTGAAAAAGTATTTTGGGGCCAAATAGACCGAGTACCATGCTTAAGTATGTGTATTACAGGCAAACAAAGGCTGTGGCAGAGCTGAAATAAGTTTCGGTCATATGACTACCAGTTACATATTCAAACTTTCATCCATTGTGTGCCTGCTCCATTCAGCATAGCTCTAATAATCCTCACATGTGTCTAAGTAAATACAGTCCTCTTATTTATTCTCTCTTAAATTACTCTCTCCTTCCTTTTCAACTGTGAAGATTAACTGCAGAATATGAACATCCCGTGGCCCTTTGAGTTTTTATTAAGGCTGGGACAATGCTTTGAGTTACTTTAGAGTTGAGGAACACTGGTTTCCTCAACAGCTCTGCAGGGGAGATGTCAGGTGAGATTATTTCTCTATTCAGTATGAGGAAGAAAAATATTAAGAAGTTCTAGCTTCAGAGAGGGCACAAAAAAAATGTTCTAGCGTTCATAAAATTGGATTCAGCATTTTAAAAAAATATATATTTTATTGATATTTTACAGAGAGGAAGGGAGAGAGATAGAGAGCTAGAAACATCGATGAGAGAAAAACACCAGCTGCCTCTTGCACATCCCCCCCCGGGGATGTGCCCACAACCAACGTACATGCCCCTGACCAGAATCGAACCTGGGACCTTTCAGTCTGCAGACTGACGCTCTACCACTGAGCCAAACCGGTTTCAGCGGGTTCAGCATTTATTAAACAACTACACATTGCAAGTTACCTTTTTCTTCTTCTTTTTTTTTTTTAAATTATATTTTATTGATTTTTCACAGAGAGGAAGAGAGAGAGATAGAGAGTTAGAAACATCGATGAGAGAGAGTCATCGACCAGCTGCCTCTTGCACACCCCCTACTGGGGATGTGCCCACAACCAAGGTACATGCCAGGACCTTTCAGTCCGCAAGCTGACGCTCTATCCACTGAGCCAAACCGGTGCCGGCCCTTTTTCTTTTTATAAGCTTAGTTCAGTTAGTCAGCAGATACTTATTTTTTTTTTTTTTTAAACATTTCTATTGATTTTAGAGAGGAAGGGATAGGGAGAGAGAGAAACATCAATAATGAGAAAGAATCATTGATTGGCTGCCTTCTGCACACCCCCTATTGGGGATCAAGCTTGCAACCCAGGCATGTGCCCTTGACCGGAATCAAACCCGGGACTTTCAGTCCTCAGGCTGACACTCTATCTACTGAGCCAATCGGCTAGGGCACAGATACTTATTAAGTACTCACAAGAGACAGAGCACTTGATGAAGTATAATGGCTGCTTGTAAGGAAAATAGATTCCTGCTGAAACCAGTTTGGCTTAGTGCATAGAGCGTCAGCCTGTGGACTGGAAGTTCCCAGGTTTGATTCCTGTCAAGGGCATGTACCTTGGTTCGGGCACATCCCCAGTAGGGGTTGTGCAGGAGGCGGCTGGTCGGTATTTCTCTCTCATCGATGTTTCTAGCTCTCTATCCCTCTCTCTTCCTCTCTGTGAAAAATCAATACAATATATTTTTTAAAAAAAGAAAAGAAAATAGATTCCTGCCCTAGCTGGTTTGGGATGGAACTAGTGGTATGCTATAAATCAGCTCTCTCGGAAAAACACACACTCTAATTTATAGTGCTTGCCAATTTCTGTGGTGTATATACTTCTAGCATCACTGATTTTAAGTTATCAACTTAAAATGTCACTAAACATGGAGTTGGAAAGTGATATGCACAATTGGTTCTTAGGAACTTGTAGAGCTGATAGAGCTGAATCATTCATACTTAAGAAAGCCTACAACAGCAAGTGAATACTGGGACATTTCTAGAATGATTAGAGCCTATGTCAGCACCATATCATGTTCCAATCCTTTTCAGAGGACTGTGATCTCCACCGTGCCCTTGGATTTGGTAGTTATCTTGATGTTTTTTTTCCTGTGGTTGCCCTCTTTTCAAACCAGACCAAGTTACTGGTGCTCCTTGTTTCTGACAGCAGCTGCAGCTACCTGACTTCATGTGAAAGATGGCTAATGCAGAAGTGAGTGTCCCAGTGGGGGATGTGGTTGTGGTACCCACTGAAGGAAATGATGGGGAGAACCCTGAAGACACTAAAACCCAAGTCATCTTGCAGTTACAGCCTGTGCAACAAGGGTAAGTGACTAAGGATTTGGATATTCTGAAAAATTGGAGAAATTTAAAGAGTGGGAAAAGTATAACTTTATGCTTGTTTAGCACAATAGAACATTCAACATTAATCTCAGAGTTGGCCAAATTTTCATCTCTATAATAATGTATTGAGTGCTCTATTTGTCATTTCAGTACTTATTACGATTAGCTATTTCCTTGTCTTTCCCCCTCTTTTCCACTGTTAGCTTTTGGAGGGTAAGTTACATGGCTCCCTCATTTTATTTATTCACACTATTTGGCACAGGGCCCTGGTACATGTTTACCAAAAGACAGTAGTTAGAGTCAGAGGAGATTAGGCAAGGCAACTTTAAAAGTACTAGAGGTCTGGTGCACAAAACGTATGCTCTTGGTGGTGAGGGGGTCCCTCAGCCCTGCGCCCTCTCGCAGTCTAGGAGCCATCAGTCAGACGTCCTTAGTGCTGCTGTGGAGGCAGGAGAGGCCCCTGCCACCGCTTCCCACCTCCACCCCACGCTCACCAGCCAGTGAGCCCCACTTCTGGCTGAGGGTGCTCCCCCTGTGGAAGTGCACTGACCACCAGGGGTAGCTCCTGCATTGAGCATCTGCCCCCTAGTGGTTATTGTGCATCATTCCCTTCTGCCGATTTACATATTAGCCTTTTATTATGTAGGATTCCTATTAGAAGCTGTCTGGACTGTCATGGGAGGACAAATTATCAAGTTTAATCGATAAAAAATATATATTAACTATCTAATCTTTTGTGTGTATGTGTGCTTTTTTATCTTTATTGTTAAAAACTTATCTTTATTATGACCTCACTCATCTGTGGATAATAAAGAACATTATAAACTGATGAACCAAAAGATAGATATAGAGACAGTAAAGCAACAAGCAGACTGTCAAATTACAGCAGGGAGAGTAGGGAGATCTGGGGGAGATAAGAGATCAACCGAAGGACTTGTATGCATGCATACAAGTACAACCAATGGATACAAAACTCTGGGTAGGAAGGGTATGTATGGGAGGGGGGGCAATGTTAAAATATGTACACAGATAATAATTTAATAAAAAAATGTAAAAAAATTATCTTTATTGTTGAAAGTATTACAGGTATCCTCTTCCCCCCACATTGACTGTTTCCCTCCCCAGGCCTTCACCCTGTGTCCATGGTTTATACATATATGCATATCCTATATAATAAAACCCTAATATGCAAATCGGTGGAACAACTGGTGGAACGACCAGTTGTTATGACATGCATTTACCACCAATTGAGTGTCTTCCCCCGCCTTTCTCCCCCCACCCCCCTCCCGAGAGGGGGCAGGGCCAGCTAGCAGATGGCACCAAGCCTCCAGCCAAGGCAGGTGCCAGCAGGAGCCCCCCCAATTGCCCCGCCCACCAGTTGCCCCACGGAAATGGTCGTGATCACCAGCCAGGCCTAGGGACCCTACGCTATATATTGGGAACAATCTCTTAGATTTAAAAATTAAAACCTGGCAAGGCTACTCTAACACTGGAAAAACAGGATGATGCAGTGATGACATGCGTGGACTGGCTTATACATTTTGTGGTCATCCCTGATTCTGACACTTATAACTGTGTGACAAAGCCCATTACTTAACTTCTCTCTGCTTCAGTTTCTCCACCCTAAGGTGGGGAAAATGGTACTAATGCATCAGAAGGATCATGTTATGCACTGCTTTTTACAATCAGGGCAAAAAAATGTAGCTGCCCATACAACAGCAAGATGCTTTTCACCTGTATGAAAAGTATGGTCACTGGTGCATGCAGTGCCTGGATTGCGAGAGGGATGTCCGACTGCTGGTTTAGGCCTGACATCTGTCCTGGATTGCGAGATGATGCAGGCCAGGCTGAGAGACCCCCCCCCCCTACCCTTGTGCATTAAATTTCATGCACTGGGCTTCTAATATATATATATATATATATATATATATATATATATATATATTCTTTGATTAATCTCTCCCTGCCCCAGTTCCCTCAGAAATATGTCAGTTTGTTGCATGCTTCAATGTCTCTGGGTCTTATTTTGTCTGTCAGTTTATTTTGCTCATTAGAGTCCACATATAAATGAGATCACATGATACTTATCTTTCTCTGATGGACTTATTTCATTTAGCAAAGTTCTCTCCAGGTCCCTTCATGCTATCTCACAGGGTAAGAGATACTTCTTTTTTACAGTTGCATAGTTTTCCATTGATGGGCACTTGGTTGTTTCCAGATCTTAGCTATCCTATCTAATAAAAGAATAATATGCAAATTGACCATCACTCCAACACACAAGATGGCTGTCCCCATGTGGTCAAAGATGGCTGCCCCATGTGGACACAAGATGGCCACCACAAGATGGCCAGCAGGGGAGGGCAGTTAGAGGGACCAGGTCTATAAGAGAAGGCAATTGTGAGCAATCAGGCCAGCAGGGGAGGGCAGTTAGAGGGACCAGGTCTATAAGAGAAGGCAATTGTGAGCAATCAGGCCAGCAGGGGAGGGCAGTTGGGAGGGACCAGGCCTGCAAGGGAGAGCAGTTGGGGGTGATCAAACCTGCAGGGGAGGGCAGTTGGGAGGGACCAGGCCTGCAAGGGAGAGCAGTTGGGGGTGATCAAACCTGCAGGGGAGGGCAGTTAGGAGTGACTAGGCCAGCAGAGAGGGAAGTTGGGGGCAACTGGGCCTGCAGGGAAGGGCAGTTAGGGGTGACCAGGCCTGTAGGTGAGGGCAGTTAGGGGCAAACAGGCTGGCAGGGGAGTGGTTAGGGGGTGATGAGGCTGGCAGGCAGAAGCAGTTAGGGGCCATCAGTAAGACAGACAGGCGAGCAGTTGGGAGCCAGCAGTGCTAGATTGTCCTAGTTTGTGAGGGGGATGTCTGACTGCCCATTTAGGCCCGATCTCGAGATCAGACTTAAATGGGCAGTTGGACATCCCTCGAGGAGTCCCAGATTGGAGAGGGTGCAGGCTGGGCTGAGGGACACATACCCCCATGCATGAATTTCATGCACTGGGCCTCTAGTTGTAAATAACACTGCTGTGAACATAAGGGTGCACATATTCTTTCTGATTAGTGTTTCAGGCATCTTAGGTTATATTCCTAGAAGTGGGATCACTGAGTCAAAGGGCATTAACAATCTATTTTTATACAATGTATTCTAAAGGTGTTGGAAGAAATATAGCACATTGTTACCATTACCATAGAGCTTGCAGTCTAGCTGTGCAAACCAAAAATACATATTCTATCCTAGATAATAAAAATCTAATATGCAAATAGACTGAGTGGCGGAACTACCAGTCACTATGACACGCACTGACCACCAGGGGGCAGATGCTCAACATAGGAACTGTCCCCTGGTAGTCAGTATGCTCCCACAGGGGGAGCACCACTCAGCCAGAAGCCGATCTCATTGCTGGGGCATAGAGCGGCAGACATCCCCCAAGGGGGTCCCAGAGTATGAGAGAGTGCAGGGTAGTCTGAGGGGATTCTCTCCCCCCAACCCCCAGTGCAGGAACATCATACACTGGGCCAAAAGCCTACACTAATAAAAGAGAACATGCAAATTGACCATCACTTCGTTATACCCACCAGCGAATCAGGAGCGAGTATGCAAATTAACCCAACAAAGATAGCAGCAGCCATGGAGCTAGAGGGAGCAGGAGGTTTGGATTGCCTTGTAATGGAGAAAGCCAAGCTTCCGTCTGCTCTGGCCTCTGCTCAAGGCTATAAAGTTTCAATTATAGAAGATAAATCCCAGATACCTATTTCCAGCGGGCCCTGGCCTCCATTCAAGGAGGCGCTGAGAAGAAAAAAAGGAGGGACTGGGAGCTTGGGTTGCCGGGGTGTGTGGCCAGTCTGCAGACAGCCATCAGCCCCTCACCCATGCTGGCCAGACACCCCAATGGGGACCCCACCCTGAAGGGGCTGTGGCCAGCCTGCAAATAGCCATCAGCCCCTCACCCAGGCTGGCCACAACCCATGGCCTGATCCCTGTAAACAGGCAGTCGAACATCCTTTGAGAGGACCCAGATTGGAGGAAGTGCAGGCTGGGCTGAGGGACCCCCCCCTCCCCCCGTTTCACGAATTTCGAACTCCAGGCCTCTAGTCCTACCTTATAAAAGAGTAATATGCAAATTACCCATCACTCTGCTCAAGCCATGCCCACCAGCCACGCTCACCAGCCAATCAGAGCGAGTATGTAAATTAACCCCAGCCAAATGGCTGCAGCCACAGAGAGCAGTTGAGAAAGGCTTAGGTTTCCCTGGCAACAGAAGCCAAGCTTTCCACATACTCTGGCCAGCCTAGGCCTCCACTCAAGGATACAAAGTTTCAATTACAGAAGATAAATCCCAAGAAAAATGGCAGCAGCCACTGAGCTGGAGAGAAGTCCAGGGTTTCCCTGGCAACGGAGGAAGCCAAGCTTTCCACCAGCCCTGGCCAGCCTAGGCCTCCACTCAAGGATACAAAGTTTCAATTATGGAAGATACATAAAACCAAACAAATGGTGGCAGCTGGAGCTAGCAGGAGGCTTGGCTCCATTCCAGGTTACAAAGTTTCAATTGTAGAAGGTAAATAAATTTCAGATACTAGAGCCTCCGCTTGGGTTGCTAGGGGGCATGGCTGGCCTGCAAACCACTATAGGCCCCTCGCCCAGGCCACCCCATGCCCCAAGGGAACTCCCACCCTGATTCAGGACACCTTTCAGGGCAAATTAGCTAGCCCCCACCCATGCATCAGGCCTCTATCCTGTCTAATAAAAGAGTAATAATATGCAGCCGAAACTGGTTTGGCTCAGTGGTAGAGCGTCGGTCTGTGGACTGAAAGGTCCCGGGTTCGATTCCGGTCAAGGGCATGTACCTTGGTTGCGGGCACATCCCCTGTAGGGGGTGTGCAAGAGGCAACTGGTCGATGTTTCTCTCTCATCGACGTTTCTAGCTCTCTATCTCTCTCCCTTCCTCTCTGTAAAAAATCAATAAAATATATTTAAAAAAAAAAAAAAGAGTAATAATATGCAGATTGACCTTCACTCAACACACCAGCTGACTGCTCCCATGTGGTCAAAGATCCTGCCCCCATGTGGACACAAGATGGCCAGCAGGGGAGGGCAGCAGGGAGGCACCAGGCCTGTAAGGAAGGGCATTTGGAAGCAATCAACCCTGCAGGGGAGGGAGGTTAGGGGTGGCCAGGCTGGCAGAGGAGGGAAGTTGAGGTAAACAGGCCGGCAGGGGAGCAGTTAGACATCAATCAGGCTTGCAGGGGAGTGGTTGGGGGTGATCAGGCTGACGGCAGAAGTGGTTAGGGGCAATCAGGAAGGAAGGCAGGCGAGCAGTTGGGAGCCAGCAGTCCTGGATTGTGAGAGGGATGTCCGACTGCCTGTTTAGACCAGATCCTGGGCAGTTTAACATCCCTCGAGGTCCCAGATTGGAGAGGCTGCAGGCTGGGCTGACGACACCACACACACACACACACACACACACACCGTGCATCTTTTGGTCTTCAGGCCAATGCTCTATCCACTGAGCAAAACTGGCAAGGGCTCTTGAAAGATTTTAAGGAGAGAGTGACATGATTATGCTGGTGGGAATATAGAAGATCAGGTAGCTGCAAGGAGAGATGTTCAGACTAACAATTATGCAGCCTGAATGCAGTAGCAGTAGAAGCAGAGATAGGGAGGATGGCTAGTGGTAAACATGCATCTGGCAGGATGTGGTGACTGGCCATGTGGGAGTTGAGGAGGAGGAAAGGGAGGAATCTAATGTAATTCCCAGGCTTCTGTGTTAGGCTCCGGTGTTCTGGGTGGTGTCATCAGCAAGGACAAGGGAGTATAGGAAGAAGAGTAGTTTGGGAGGTGAGGGAAGGAAGAGAGCTTGCTTGTTTTAGACCTAACAAATTGAACAAAGTCCTATGGGACATCTAGATATACTACTTATTCACTAATCAGTTAACCTCTGGTGTGAAATTCAGAAGAGAGGCCTGTGCTAACGGTGTAACTAGGGGCTGGGTAATCACTGATGCAAAGGAAACCATTCAGGAGGTGCTTTTAAGTAACAAGATGCAATAATTAACACATCAGGTTTATTATAGAAATTAAAGGATATTGTTGTATCATATTAGGTAATTTTGAGCCCATTTCTTAGAAGGTAGAAACATTTTAGAAAGACACTTTCCCTAAGTAGTACCTCTAGTTATTGCTAGTCACTTAGGGCATAGTGTAGCTCTTACTTTTTTTTTTTTTTTTTTTTTTTTTTTTTTTACTATACTCTGATCATGTCAATATTGTGGTTATGAGCCCCCTGCGGCAAGAGCCCAGGATGCGAGAGGAGACGGCATCCGACCAGGTGTGAGGCTGCAGGAGACCACGGGCAGGTGCACGAGTGGCTGTGGTAGTCCTACTGTGGCTATCTCACCTGGCACAGCTGCCTGGCCGCCTTCCCAGCCTACTGCAGCCTGCAGTTACCCCAGCTGAGCTACCTTTTGTGAGGGTGGATGGGGGGAGTGAGAGATTGGGAGGGGGAGCCTCCTAGGCCTGGATGCTGCAGGCCCTGCAGCTGGGCTACTATAGCCCTACCCGGTAGTGGCCCTACCCGGTAGTGGCTTCTGGCAGCACCTCCCCTGCCCCAGTCCCAAGCCTGGGACCCCAGGCTCCTCATGTTCAGGGGGCTGTGCGGGCCACCCCAGTAAGGAGGGGTGAGGTCTGCTGCTCCTTCTCGAACTGCACCAGGAAGACAGTATTATTCCATCCTTGGCCCACAGACTTATGGCAGAGATGGTGGATTTCTTCATTCTCCTCTTTATAAAAGTAACTATTGTGTTAAGCATTATGCACCTCCATGGAATAAAGTTTGCTATGCATTATATAATAGAAGAAATAGATGAAGACACATCAATGGGAGACGTGCAGAAAATGATGGCGTGGCTCTTATATACAGATTACTAATTTGTTTCTATGAGATAATTTGTATTGGGGGAGCAGGCGGAGCTACCCCAGGGAAGTTCCTGCTGGGGCTTCGAGTTGTGACATGTGACATGTCAGTGCTTATTGCACCAAGTCGGGTTTTAGTGATTCCTTCCTCAAATGTTAGTATTACAACGTCCACTATACGAGCATGGACCAAGAATTTTTCTATTGCTTCTTTTTCCCCTGCTTTCATCACACTGCTGTTTTTCCAGCATAATCGAACAGCCTATGACATTGTAGCAGGAACCATTGTGGTAAAAAGAAATGGGGTCAGATGATGCCCCCAAAGCCCTAAATTCCATATTTTCTGGAATGATGACAAGACTGAATTATGTATCGAGACCATCAGTATCCCTGGGTTACGTTAATTGATGATTTAGAAATTAAAGCAGTCATTTCAGTATGATACAGGTGAAAAAAGAAAAAGGAAATAAAGTAGTTTTAAAAATGCTAAAGTGCTTAAAAATACTTCAGTGCCTAGATTCCAACAAGAGCCATCAACTTCTATGCTCAGCATTTGCTTTTGGAACTGTCCAGCAGTATTACTTTTTATTCTTGTTAGAATAATTCTTTACTATGACTTACCCTTATTATACTTGAAGCAACACTATCTTGTGTTTCTTTCTTTCTTCTTCTTTTAAAAAAAATATATTTTATTGATTTTTTACAGAGAGGAAGGGAGAGAGATAGAGAGCCAGAAACGTCAATGAGAGAGAAACATTGACCAGCTGCCTCCTGCACATCCCCTACCAGGGATGTGCCCGCAGCCCAGTGTTTCTTTTAAATTTATTTTTTATTGATTATTTTAGAGAGAGGAGAAGAGAGAGGGATAGAAAGATAAAAATATCAATAAGAGAGGAACATTGATCGATGGCCTCCTGCACGCCCCCTATTGGGGATTACGCCAACAACTCAGGCATGTGCCCTTACTGGGAATCAAACCAGTGATCTCTTAGTTCATGGGTCGACACCCAACACTGAACCACACCTGCTGGGCTATCATGAGGTTTTAAGGTTATGAAGGGAAAAGTGGTGTAAATAAGTAGCAAGACAGCCCTGATCAGTTTGGCTCAGTGGATAGAGCATCAGCCTGTGGACTGAAGGGTCCCAGGTTCGATTCTGGTCAGGGGCATGTGCCTTGGTTGCGGGCACATTCCGGGGGAGGGGGGGTATGCAGGAGGCAGCTGATTGATGTTTCTCTCTCATTGATGTTTCTAAATTTCTCTCTCTGTGTAAAGAGTTAATAAAATATATTTTAAAAAATAAGTAGCAAGAGAAACTTTGCTTTGAGGTGAAGAAAGTTATTGATTCATTTCCATGGTAGTAGCCGCTAAGCAGCCATGGGCACCTTAGAGTTTAAAAACAATGGGTAACTAGTCAAAGCATTAACAAACAGTTGTAAAATATATTTATTTTAGTCCTTTTGAGGTAAGTTAAAAGAAATTTCTTAATCCCTATGCTGTGAATATTAATTTTTTCATGATTTATGTAGTTTGTTTATCGATGGACACTTTTACAACAGGATTTATGAAGCTGGGTCCGAGAACAACACAGCAGTTGTGGCAGTAGAAACTCACACGATACACAAAATTGAAGAAGGGATTGGTGAGTCTTTCTGTTATTTTAGTACATTTGACCTTAGTTTCCTTAGCTAAGATTACTTGACTTTGTGCCTTTTTCAGGAAGAAAGAGGGAGAGAGACAGAACATCAATGATTAGAGAGAATCATTGATCAGTTGCCTCCTGCACATCCCCCGCTCAGGATCGATCCTGCAACCCAGGCATATGCCTCAACCAGAAACCAAACCATGACCTGGGACATAGGTTGAGGCTCAACCACTGATCTACGCCGGTCAAGCAAAAAGATTTTTCATCTATAAAAATCCACAAAGAAGTTGGAGCCTCAAGGTTGATTCTTGTCAGTAGGGAAGTTGCTGATGAAGACTGATAAAGTGTTCAGTGGAAAGCAATCAGTGGAAAGCAATTTTGAAATTAGGCAAACCTAAGTTTGGAGCCTACTTTTCCATTTCTTAACTGTATCCTTGAGAAAGTCACTTTACTTTTGGAGTCCCACATTACAGATATGTAAAACATAGAAAACAATCACTATCTCCTAGGGTTGTTGCAAGAACTAAATAAGACTAAGCACATTAAAGCATTTAGTACAGTGTCTGGTGCATAGTGGGAGTTCAGTAAGATAGTTGTTATGCCTAATTTTTTCCAAAGGATTTCTAAATAATACCAGCCAATGTAAACTGTTAACCCATGAGAGGAACCAGGAGACTAAAGATTTTTGAATTTAGCTTTGGGAAAGAGTGTTCATATAATATCTTAATTAAAAAAAAATGAAGAAAAAAAAAGTGTTCAATAAATCACTGGTATTTTTTTCATTTTTAGATGCAAGCACTATAGAAGCAAATGAGGATATGGAAATTGCTTATCCCATAACTTGTGGGGAGAGCAAAGCCATTCTTCTCTGGAAGAAGTTTGTATGTCCAGGAATAAATGTGAAGTGTGTCAAGGTAATTGTCTTTTCTCCTTGCTGGAACCTATTTTGGGGCTCCTTGTTTTCAAAGGGCATGATTTCAGTGCCTAATTTTTCTTTCCATCATATCAGTATTTTAAAAAATGTGTTCTTATTGATTTCAGAGAGGAAAGAAGAGAGAGAGAGAAACATCAATGATGAGAAAGAATCATTGATTGGCTGCCTCCTACGCATCCCCTAATGGGGATCAGGCCCACAACCTGGGCATGTGCCCTTGACTGGAATTGAAACCAGGACCCTTCAGTCCACAGGCTGACACTTCATCACTGAGCTATAGTCCCATTGCATCATAGTAAGTAAGTAAAAATAACTTGGGAGTAAAATTGTATTCTGATGGGACCTGGATTCAAGTACCATCAGAATACAAGTTTGGCTCCGTGGACAGAGCATTGGCCTATGGCTTGAAGAGTCCTGGGTTCTATTCTGGTCAAGGGTACATGCCAGGGTTGTGGCTTGATCCCCAGTAGGGGGCGTGCGGGAGGCAGATGATTGATGATTCTCTCATTATTAATGTTTCTATCTGTCCTCTCCTTTCTGAAATCAATACAAAAAAAAAAGACAGTTCCATGAGAGCTGAGAACTTGTCTCTCTCTCTCTCTCTCTCTCTCTCTCTCTCTCTCTCTCTCTCTCTCTCTCTTTTTTTTTTTTTTTTTTGAGAACTTGTCTATCTTGATCATTAATGTATTCCCAGCACTTAGGAATGGTACTTAGTGTATTTATCAATAAATATTTGTTGAATGAATGAATGGAGTCCCATCTTTATCAATGCCTTACCCTGGTGTTCACTGATGGTAGAGTTTATTGAAAATTATTACTGAATAAAAATACATAATTATGAGAGCACAGTGTGGAAATTATTGTTTATTTCATCCCCATTGATTGCCACAACTATACACATAGATGATTGTAGTCACCATCAGTGGCACAATCCTAGAATCATTAAAAATTACATAGTTTTGCTGAGACCGGTTTGGCTCAATGGATAGAGCGTCGGCTTGGGGACTGAAGGGTCCCGATTCTGGTCAAGGGCATGTACCTTGGTTGCGGGCATATCCCCAGTGGGGGTTGTGCAAGAGGCGGCTGATCGATGACTCTCTCTCATCGATGTTTCTAACTCTCTATCTCCCTTTCTCTCTGTACAAAATCAATAAAAATATATTTTAAAAAAATTTTAAAAATAAATAAAAATTACATAGTTTTGTGTGTTATTTAAAATATATTTTTGTTATTTCAGAGAGGGAGAGGGAGAGATGGAAACATCAATGATGAGAGAGAATCATTGATCTGCTGCCTCCTGTATGTCACACACTGGGGAACGAGCCTGAACCCTGGCATGTGTCCCAACCAAGAATCAAATCGTGACCTCTGGTTCATAGGTCAACACTCAACCACTGAGCCATGCCTGCCAGGCAAGATTGCATAGTTTTGATGTTCTGCATTGCTCTTGGTTCCTATTGTACTTATTCTTCCTACCACATCTTTAATCTTGTCATTAGGGCTAGATAGATCACTTCAGTTTATTTATTTATTTATTTATTTATTTATTTATTTATTTTTATTTAAAAATATATATATTTATTGATTTTTTACAGAGAGGAAGGGAAAGAGATAGAGAGCTAGAAACATTGATGAGAGAGAAACATTAATCAGCTGCCTCTTACACATCCCCTACTGGGGATGTGCCCGCAACCAATGTACATGCCCTTGCCCAGAATCGAACCTGGGACCTTTCAGTCCGCACACCGACGCTCTACCACTGAGCCGAACTGGCTTCGGCCACTTCAGTTTATTTAAATAGCCTTTGTGACATTGGATCCAACTACTGATTTGGGGCATAAATGGTTTTGTTTTGTTAAACTTTGCTGAGGTGGGTGTTTTCCCTATTGCTTTTCCAGAGAGTGGAAGGGGAGGGAAGGTGAAGGAGCAGGAAGAGGGGGGCTAAAGGAGATGGAGGGGGAGAGAGAGAGAGAGAGAGAGAGAGAGAGAGAGAGAGAGAGAGAGAGAGAGAAAGAGAGAGAGAGAGAGAGAGACGGAGAGAGAGAGACGGAGAGAGAGAAAGAGAAACATCCATGTGTGAGAGATACATTGACTGGTTGCCTCCTGCAGGTACCAAGATCCGGGATGGGGAATGAATCCATAATCCAGGTACATGCACTTGACCAGGAATCGAACCCAGGATCCTTTGGTGCACGAGCTGAAGCTCTCACCACTGAACAACACCAGTCAGGGTCATAAGTTGACTTTAAATACTAATTAGTATGTTAATCTCTGATGCTCCCAATGTCATCAGTAGCTTTGTACCAGGATAGGGCACTGTGCTCAGAGAAGGACATCTTCTCTGGTATAATAGGGCAGAAGGCCAAATAATACAAGGTCATGACTTAAGATGTCATTGATATTTTTTGTACATAACAACTAGAATCATCTTAATTTTCCTCTGACCTGCCTAAGTTGACATTGGACTATTTTGGACTTTTCTTTTTACTTTAGTTCAATGATCAGTTGATCAGCCCCAAACATTTTGTTCATCTGGCTGGCAAATCCACCCTAAAGGACTGGAAGAGAGCTATTCGTCTGGGTGGAATCATGCTCAGGTGAGCTCTAATAGTTAAGAACATACCTTTCTACTGACTTTGGGTCACTTAATCATGGTAGAATCGAGAGAATTCAGTTTTTTCTCTTTAATTTGGAATTTTTATTCTGTCTGACGGATTAGTTGAAGCAATTCATGTATTATTTGACCTTCAACTTGTTTAAAAGAAAAAAAAACAACTCTGAAAGAACAAAAAAAACAACTATGTATCTAGGGCCAATTTTTTAGGATGTTGGATAGGATCCTCTGGGCAGAGAAACTCAAGAACAGATGACAGTCCTACTTGAAATCACAAAGCATAGGCAGGCTAAGCCTGGTGCTGAGGAAGCGTGACAGTCACTGAGAAGTTTGGGCTGACTGACAAATCCTAGAATAATTGGTAAATGTAGAGGGGTGCTATTAATAAGTACCAGTGATCCACAGTGAGTGCAATCCTTGCCATCACTGTATCACAGAAATAAAATTCAGAATGCTTATTACCCCCAACTCCCCCTTTATGCAGCAAGTTTCCTATTATAATTTTTTTCCCTCTGAAAATTAACATCAGTTGATTAACATTAGTGCTCATTCCTTGAGTACTCAACTCGTGGTAGGAAATTTTAAAAAGTGATAAAAAATTAAAAGTTCCACACAGAACATGTTTCAAGAACCTCAAAAGCACCGTACCCTTTATTTTTCATTTTTAAAAAAAATATATTTTATTGATTTTTTTACAGAGAGGAAGGGAGAGATATAGAGAGCTAGAAACATTGATGAGAGAGAAACATCGACCAGCTGCCTCTTGCACACCCCCTACTGGGGATGTGCTCCCAACTCAGGTATATGCCCTTGACCGGAATCGAACCTGGGACCTTTCAGTCCACAGACCGACGCTCTACCACTGAGCCAAACCGGTTTCGGCTATTTTTCATTTTTTTAAGGAATCTGTCTTAAGAAAATCCATAGGGTTTGTAGAGATTCAAGCATAAATATGTTCATTGTGACTATTTATTATGAAAATTAGTCTTTTAATATAGGTATATGTAAAGTAAATTATTGCTCATCTAAATATATATGGGATATATATTTAGATGAGCAATATATATATGTGAGATATAATGTAGTCATTAAAATATTTCTGAAGAGTTTTTACATAAAAATGCTTACGTGTAATGTAAGAATGAAGACAAAATATAAAATCAATTAAACAGTGTGATTTTAATTGTGTTAAAACACATACACACATATGTAAAATTTAGTAGAAGAAAATATACCAAAATGTTGATGTGATCTCTGTGTTGTGGTATATATTTTTAAAAAGGGTAGTTGTTGTCTTCATATTTTTCTGAATTTTTTTACAAAAAATGTTAATTTTTTTTCTTCACATACTATTTTTTTTAGTCAGAGATAAAGGAAAAAAAATTCCAGATGATTTATATGCAGAAATTAGTAGTTGAATGAAATTGGAGAGGCTTACCTTTAACTTTCATTTTTGTAGTTCTTGTCCCGTCTTATTTGCCCAGAAAAGCAAGCTTATGTCAACTTTTCTCAAATGTAAAAGGGTACAAGAATGCCTAAAAAACCTTTAGTGAAAGACAATTAGCAATGTAACATATTTACTGTAATGAAAATATGGCATTGTTTTGCCCAGGATCTATCATAATGTCTTGTGAATTCCTTTCTAAGGATATTTTATAGTCGGGGGTTTAGTATAATCAGCTTAGGTGTTTCTTTTATCAATTTCTTTTCCTTAAAAATTTCTTTTTAAGGAAAGAAATATGCTGAAGTTTTATGTCTCCAAAAGTGACAACAGATCTTGCTGTCTAGGAATATTAATACCTCAGAATCTCATCACAAAATTCTAATTCTGTTGTGGCATTCCTTAATTGTGCTTGGATATGAGGTCGTCTTTTTTCCCCTTTGGGTTTGGTTTCATTGAGATCCTGTGGGGAAACTTAGCTATTGTCAGGAGTGTATATTTAAAGCTTAGTGATAATGGATATAAAAGAAAAAGTACTCATGAGTAGACTAGGGAGGCAAGAGGAGTACTTGTAAATGTGGACAGGACCAATGAAAATTTTATAGTCCCAATTAGAATCTTTGCAACTTAATGACTTTTAATACTATTAGGTTTCACTAATCTATAGAGGAGACTCAGCAACTTGTCTCTCTTTGTTCCTAAAGCCTAGTTCTTGAAGTGCAGGCTGAAGTGGTACTTCTTGTCTCCCTTTGTGCAGGAAAATGATGGACTCTGGACAGATTGATTTTTACCAACATGACAAGGTTTGCTCCAATACCTGCAGAAGCACCAAATTTGATCTTCTGATCAGCAGTGCAAGAGCTCCAGTGCCAGGACAGCAGACAAGTGTGGTGCAGACACCCACTTCGGTCGATGGTAGGGGGTAGGAAACCACCTGAAAACACATTGTGTTTTTCAGTAGCATATTCCCCTTCATTTCTCCTTTGTATTTCCTTTTTCTTACTTTTATTGAATTTATTGGGGTGACATTGGTTAGTAAAATTATATAGATTTCAGATATTATCTATATATATAAAAACCTAAGCAACCGGTTGACCAGCCAGAGCTATAATGAGCACTGACCACCAGAGGCAGACGCTCAATGCAGGAGCTGCCCCCTGGTGGTCAGTGCACTCCCACAGTGTGAGCTCCGCTCAGCTGACCAACAGGTGCCAGACTAGGGGCTCACCGCTGGCTGGTGAGCACAGCTGCAGCGGTTCAAGCCTTTTCTGTGGATACTTTCTCTGGGTGCCCCTCCCCCACCTGGACTGGGACAGTGGAAGTGGGCACAGCCAGGCTGGGATGAGCGGGAGCAGTGAAGCATCTAGACCAGACCTGGGGTACTGCCCAGCTGCCTGCTGCTTTGCATACTAGTATATCCCTTGGGGGATGTAGGACTGCTGGTTTCAACTAATCCCTGAGGGTTGAGGGCTCCCACCAGTGCATGAATCCATGCACCACACCTCTAGTAGTTCTATAATACATCTGGATATTGTATTATGTGTTCACCCCCTAATCTCCTTTGGGTTTCTTAATTTCAAATCTCATGAGTGTTGAAGTCCTTGAAAGTTATGGTAATCTTGGATGGGGTTTTATGCTTTAGAAGCAGATCTTTGGTTTTCTCCCAAATGATTCTTATTGGCCAGACCTCCTTCTTTGTTTTTTTTTTGCAATGCTTGGTAAACATTAGAAAGATGGTTCAATAGTCCTAATGCTTATTCAGTAATCTCATCTCACTTGGGCACCATTTGGCATATCTTTGAATTTAGATTGTTTTGAAAATTCTTTGCTCTATTAGTGGTCAAAGCAGGAAGGTGGATTAGAATGGTTGAATGGTTTTCAGTTGTTGAACTGAGATGTATCAAAGACAACTTATCCTTGGGTGAGATGGACTCTGGAGACTCTGCTAGAAGGATTAAAGAGCTCTGCCTGGAAGGGTTCTTGATAACCAAGCTGAGGCTTCCTCACAATTGAGACAGGATAGGGGACACACTTAACTTTCATAATATTGAGTTTGGGATTAGGGCTCCCTGCCCATCTCCAGGAAAGATGTAGCCATGTTAGGTTATTATTAAGGATTTAGTTAGTCCAGCTGGAGATTAGCGCAGTTACGATTACTAAATAGAATATGTGTCAACTACTTCCAGAAGACTTACAAATATGTCTGACAAAGTCACAAGAACACTAAAGGATATAAGGGAAGTACTGTGCTTTAAAAATGCCTCTTTAGGTTTCTTTTGATCAGACCTAATATTCTGTATTGATTGGGTGAGTAGAAGCCTAAGCTCTTGGAACCTAAGTTTTTATCATGAAAGTATAAAATATCTAGCAGTTTGAATTTTTGTTCATGTGACTCTTTCACTTGAAAAGTGAAAAAGGCTGTGAAAGTATATATTTTCTTTTTATTTGGGCAGTGCTCCTTAATTTATTGTTCATATTGATATTACTTCTTTGCTTATTATTATTATTATTTTATTAAATATTTTATTGATTTTTTACAGAGAGGAAGAGAGAGGGATAGAGAGGTAGAAACATCGATGAGAGAGAATCATCAATCAGCTGCCTCTTGCACACCCCCTATTGGAGATGTAACCGCAACCAAGGTATCAAACCTGGCACCTTTCATTCTGCAGGCCAACGCTCTATCCATTGAGCCAAACCGGTTTTGGCTATTATTATTTTTTAACTAGAGGCCTGGTGCACGAATTCATGCACAAGTAGGGTCCCTTGCCCTGGCCTGCAGGATCAGGCTGAAACCAGCTGTCCGACATCCCATAAAGGGTCCCAGATTGTGAAGAGGGTGCAGGCCAGGCCGAGGGACCCCACTGGTGCACGATCATGGCTGAGCAGGGCCTGGGAGAGACCACAGGAGGGCTCCAGGGTATGTCTGGCCTGTCTCACTCAGTTCCGATGGGCTGGACCTTAGCAGCAAGCTAACCTACTGGATGGAGTGTCTGCCCCCTGGTGGTTAGTGCATGTCATAGGGAGTGGTTGAGTGGCTTTAGCATATCATTAACATATTACGCTTTGGTTGAACGGACAACTGGACACTTAGCATATTAGGCATTTATTATATAGGACCATTTGTTTTTATTGATATTTTATTTTTTATTATTTTTAATATATTTTATTGATTTTTTACAGATAGGAAGGGAGAGGGTTAGAGAGTTAGAAACATCGATGAGAGAGAAACATCGATCAGCTGCTTCCTGCACGCCCCCCACCAGGGATGTGCCCGCAACCAAGGCACGTGCTCTTGACCAGAATCAAACCTGGGACCCTTCAGTCTGCAGGCTGACGCTCTAGCCACTGAGCCAAACTGGTTTTGGCAAAGCTAAATATTAAAATAACAGGGCTTTAAGTATGAGATGGAAGATATCTATGACTTTTTCATAAAATTTACTGACCTTATCTCTCATGGACTGTTCTTAGGTAATATCACACAGATTGCCATCTCAGAAGAGAGCATGGAAGAAGCAGGGTTAGAATGGAACTCAGCTCTCACTGCTGCTGTCACTATGGCCACAGAAGAGGGAGTGAAGAAAGACTCTGAGGAAATTTCAGGTAATTTTCTGTGGGGTTCAGATATCTTAAAATTTTGTGACCTTATGATTATGGATACAGGAGGCCTTTTAATTATTTTTGCTTATCTGTCACATGTATATTACTATTAATTATAGCTGCAAACCTCTTACTTTAATCAGTGCAACATCTCTGTAGTCACATTTACATATAAAGAAACTGAGATTCAGAAAGGTTCAGAAACTTGGCTAATAACAGTAACACAACCTATAAGTATCAGAGCTGAATTCAGTTGAGTTTGACTGTAGTCCATGCTTTTTCATCCTGTCAAACTACCTTGAACTTTGGTATATTTCTTAGATTAAACCAAGCTGCAAGATGTTAGAAGAAAAAAATGAGGTAGCAGGTGGTTTAGAAGATGGTGATTAGAAGGGATCAGCAGAGGTTTCACATCCTCCTCCATTTATTTATTCATTTAACAAATATTTATTGCTGCTTATCTATATATATAAAATCCTAAGTGACAGGCTTGTAGCTATGAGGCACACTGACCACTAGGGGGGCAAGTGCTCAATGCAGGAGCTGCCAATCGAGGGCAACTTTGAAGAGTCTAGTCTCACACTCCGAGACCCCTAGGGGGATGGCAGAGAGCCGGTTCAGCCTGATGCCCCATAGGCCAGGCTGAGGGACTCCACCCGTGCACAAATCTGTGCACTGGGCCTCTAGTTCTTATTTATTTATAAATATTTTTTATTGATTTCAGAGAGGAAGGGAGAGGGAGATAGAGATAGAAACATCAATGATGAGAGAGAATCATGGATTGGCTGCCTCCTGCATGCCCCTACTGGGGACCAAGCCTGCAACTGGAGCATGTGCCCTTGACTGGAATTGAACCCAGGACTTTCCAGTCCACAGACTGATGCTCTATCCACTGAGCCAAACAAGCTAGGGCTTGCTACTTATTTTTAGTTAGTACTGTTGCTAGATGCTAGACAGGTGAATGAAAAGACATAGTCTTTGACTTCAGGGAGCTTATAATACCACCTATTCAACTGTTTCACTTTGTTTTTTGAAGTATATTATTAGAGTGAATATATCTTTATTTTATTTTATTATGCCTTTAATTTTTTTTAATATGTTTTTATTGATTTTGTACAGAGAGGAAGGGAGAGAGATAGCTAGAAACATTGATGAGAGAGAGTCATTGATCAGCTGCCTCTTGCACACCCCCTACTGGGGATATGCCCGCAACCAAGGTACATGCCCTTGACCGGAATTGAACCCGGGACCTCTCAGTCCCCAAGCCGACGCTCTATCCATTGAGCCAAACCGGTTTCAGCTATGCCTTTAATTCAATGTCTTTATTATTTAAGTTTTAAATTTAAAATATTAAATATTATTTATTAATTAAATTATTTAAATAAATAATATTTAATATAACATATTTATTAGAGGAACATACTTATTCCTTATAGCCAGAGCCATGACAGATTGATGGCATGACAAAATGAGGCAATTATCCCAAGTCCCTAGTTTGCTAAAGAGGCCAAATAATTAGTTAACAACTTAGGGAGACAGCTAATATTCCAAAAGGTTTTTCCGTTTTCCCAGAAGTGGCCCAAAAAGGCATCCTTTTGAATTGAAATAATTTTTAATTTAATACATTGTAGAAATGTGCCGAATATATGTAGCATCCCTTATTTACCATCTTTCTTGTTCCTCTTGTAACAGAGGACACTTTGATGTTCTGGAAAGGAATAGCTGATGTAGGGCTGATGGAAGAGGTTGTATGCAACATTCAGAAGGAAATAGAGGAGCTCCTCAGGGGGCTTCAGCAGCGGCTCATCCAGGCCCCCTTCCAGGTCACAGGTAAGCGCAGCGATCCTAACAGCATCTAGTCATCCTGTCGGCCTCATGAAAACACGATGTATAGGTATTATCCCAATTGTAGAGACTCGGTAACTAAGGCTCACAGAAGTTACTTATCTAAAGATCATAACTGGGTGTGTGTGTGTGTGTTAATCCTCACCTGAGGATATTTTTTCCATTGATTTATTTTTAGAGAGTGGGAGGGAGGGGGAGAGAGAAACATTGATGTGAAGAGATACATTGATTAATTGCCTCCCACACACAGCCCAATCAGGGCCAGGATCAAACCTACAACCAAGGTATGTGTCCTTGACTAGGAATCAAACTCATAACTCTTTAGTGCATGGACTGATGCTCTAACCACTGAGAACACTGGCCAGGGCCATAACTGTTTTTTTTAAATCCTCACCCAAGGTATTTTTTCCATTGATTTCTAGAGAGAATAGAAGGGAGGGGAGAGAGAGAGAGAGAGAGAGAGAGAGAGAGAGAGAGAGAGAGAGAGAGAAACAAATATCAATGTGAGAGAGATACATCAATTTCAGGCCCCTCTGTGGCTGGGAACCTGCAACTGAGATAAGTGACCTTGACCAGGAATAGAACCTGAAACCTTTTGATGCATGGGCTGACACTCTAACCACTGAACAACTTAGCCAGGGTTTAGCTGGGTTTTGAACTCTGGTCTGGCCATGCTTTTTCCATAGGTAATTTTTGCCATTATCAATGTGCTGAAAAATAGTTCTCTCAATTCTCTCTTTCATATATATTAATATAGATATTAATTATGGATATGTCAACAGTATATTAATATATATATAACAATTAAATCAAAATTAGTTATACATGTGATACATCTCTGTTAAAATCGTTTATTCGACTAGTTCCATCATTTTCGGGTTGTTCTATATTTGTAAACAGCACAACAGGGAGTTGGTGGAAAACCTTTCTGTTTTGAATTGACAGACATGTCTTTTCTTCTATATAGATGCTGCCGTTCTCAACAATGTGGCACACACATTTGGCCTAATGGACACGATTAAGAAGGTTTTGGACAACAGAAGGAACCAAATAGAGCAAGGAGAAGAGCAGTTTCTTTATACTCTGACAGGTATGTTTAATTTATCTCTCTTCTTAGGTGATAAACTAATATCCTTTGAGTATTGCCATTTCTTTTTTATTTTTATTTTTTATTTTTTATAACATTTTTTATTGATTTCATGCCGGCCAGGCAAGTCTTGCCATTCCTTTGTTGAAATTTGTTGGGACTGGCATGGTTCTTTCTTTGCTTCTTTTTAATATATTTTTATTGATTTCAGAGAGAAGAAGGAAGAGAGAGAGATAGAAACATCAATGATGAGAATCATTGATCAACTCTTCCTGCACACCCCCTTCTGAGGATTGAGCCTGAAACCTGGGCATGCGCTTTGCCTGGGCATGAACTTACCTGTTTCAAAGATCAATGCTTAACCATTGAGCCACACTGGCCAGGCCTTTCTTTGCTTCTTTCTCCTCCCCCCCTCCCTCCAGCTCCCTCTTTCTCTCTCTTTCTGTTTCTTTTAACTCACATAGTATCATGTTTGCTTTTGTTTTATATATATAGACCCAGGTGGGGTAAAGTAGTGGGAAGCAGAGAAGGCACAAAAGAAAAGAGAAAGAAGCCAGTATCACAGAATTCCTATATCTTTTGGAGAATTAGGATTTCTGCAAGAATGCTCCATTAATCCAGTAACATTGGCAGCAAAAGAAATTGGCTTTTGTCTTTTTTACATTATTATTACAGAATCTTTTGACAGATACACATTTAGCATATTTTCCATTATTTGTGGTAATAAATGATGGGCACACGGATAATTTAACTCTTTTTATTAAGTACTTACCTTGTGCTGGTCTTCAAACTAGGTTTTAGAAATATAATGTTGAATATTGAGAGCCTTTAAGGAACTCAAGGGAAAGCAGACATAGAAATAAGTGAAAAAAATAATCTGTTTCATGGCGGCGGCTTATAGCAGGTATGATGGAAGAACAAAGGGAGTTATCACTTATACCTGGAAGGAATCAAGAGAGGCTTTTGAAGAAAGTAAAGCAGGTGAAGGATAGAAAATTAGTCAGAAGGATCATCAGCCTTTGAATGATGTAGAACATATTACAGTCAATTATAAAGCCCAAAGACTCTTGAACGGTCATTTGGTAAGGAAAGAACAATTTAGGTTGCTCTAAAGTTGTTATTTTTTTTTAATTTATTGATTTTTTTATAGAGAGGAAGGAAGATAGATAGAGAGCTAGAAACGTCGATGAGAGAGAAACATCGACCAGCTGCCCCCTGCACACCCCCTACTGGGGATGTGCCCGCAACCAATGTACATGCCTCTGACCGGAATCGAACCTGGGACCTTTCAGTCCGCAGACAGATGCTCTACCACTGAGCCAAACCGGCTTCGGCCTAAAGTTATTCTTATACCCAGTTTATGCAGATAAATAGACAGATATAGATATATATTTTTTAAATACATGTTTATGGATTTCAGAGTGGACAGTAGAGGGAAAGATAGAAACATCAATGATGAGAAAGAATCATTGGCTGCCACCGCTTGCATACCCCCACTGGGGATTGAGCCCACAACCTGGGCATGTGCCCCAACCAGGAATTGACCGGAGACCTCTTGGTTTATAGGTCGATGCTCAACCACTGAACCACACAGGCCAGACCTGTAACTTTTATTTATTTATTTATTTATTTTTATTTTTTAAAATATATTTTATTGATTTTGTACAGAGAAGAAGGGAGAGAGATAGAGAGTTAGAAACATCGATGAGAGAGAGTCATCGATCAGCTGCCTCTTGCACACCCCCTACTGGGGACATGCCCACAACCAAGGTACATGCCCTTGACCGGAATCGAACCCGGGACCCTTCAGTCCCCAAGCCGATACTCTATCCATTGAGCCAAACCGGTCTCCGCCTGTAACTTTTATTTTTGAGTTTTTTTTCCCAACTACTTCCCAGGATTAAACTTGATATTATACCGTGTTTCCCCGAAAATAAGACATCCTCCGAAAATAAGACCTACTTACAGGTTTCCTTCTGAGTGAAATATAAGGCATCCCCCGAAAATAAGGCCCCCCCTAGGCTAAACATGAGAGATTTAGTCTACTGATTCTGAAAGAAATGGAGTCACAAGATATTCACCAGAAAATTCAGGAATTGGATTGTTATGATGATGTTCCAGAAGATGATGACATGATTGTTATTGAATAAATGAGTAAATTCTTGATACTGTAGGATTCAGTTTGTGTTGTGTTGATGACAACTGTACTACCATACCATATACAGGTAATAAATTTCCTTTATTTTCATTTAACAATTAATGTGTACCATATTCTTCTTCATGGGAAAATAAGACATCCCCTGAAAATAAGACCTAGCGCATCTTTGGGAGCAAAAATTAATATAAGACACTGTCTTATTTTCGGGGAAACAGGGTAGTATTGCTAAATTTTTTATGGATGTCAAGTTTCCAAGAAGATTATGCCAATTTATGTCAGCAGTTTGAACTCACCAACATTGGACATTGTTATTATAGTAGTCCTTGATTTAGCTTTTTAAATATTACAGATTTTATTTTTATCCTATTTAGGTTCACATTTCTTTGTGGAAAAAATGCAGTATATTGTAACTTTAAAAGGCGGTATTTTAAAATCTGTGAATATGTTCTTGATCCCTATCATCTCCTTTTATTCCAAGCAAGTAATTAACCAGCTCTTGGTGTTCCATAGGAAACCAAGTGCTCTAAAGGGTAACTGATTATTTATTGCTTGTTTATCAGGTATTAAGTAATAGGGAATTTCTGGTGTAGAGCCAGACTCATCAGGGGTCGCCAATGTTGAATTGGACATATGGAGAGAGAGAGAGAGAGAGAGAGAGAGAGAGAGAGAGAGAGAGAGAGAGAGAGAGAGAGAGAGAGAGAGAGAGAGAGAGATAGTGGTGGAAAAGCCACCAAGCTGGCCATCAGAGGCTTTTGTCCCAGGCTCTGTGACCTTAAATCAGTCACTTTGGAACTTTAAGACCTCCTCAGTTTTGTATTTCTTAGAAACTTCCTCTGCAACTTTCTCCAGACTTCTCTGGGGACTAATAGTAGACTAAGGCCATTTGGGTCACCAGGTGATCCTGCCTTGAGGGACAGTTTGGGAATCACTGTGTTCTAGAGTGGCCATTGTAGGTCCATTGCAGTTCCAAAGGGATTGTGAAGATATTTCTTATTTTCATTTGTAGTTTGAGGCAGGGCATATCTTAGCTTCTAGACCAACTAGAGGTTGCTTTGGTTTGCATTTTGGTAACAGGCGACAAAATGCCACAGGAGCTTCTAGAGTTGAGCTACAGTAGGATGACAACATGAAAAGATCCTGGATTTTTGCCCTGCCAATAATCATCCAAGGAAATGTTGTTATTGAAGAGATTTAACAAATCATCCAGTTTAATTTCTTCTTAAAAACAATGAAGCAAAAACACACACAAAAAACAACAACAATGAAGCAAAAAATAATAATTAAAAAATAAAAACAATGAAGTGACTTTCTTGAGGCTAGAGTGGCAAGACCTGGGGTCCCCTTACTCTCATTTTACTGTTCCCAAGATTATACTTCCATCTACACAAAGTCTATCTTTTTCCCCATAGACTTGGAACGCCAGTTGGAAGAGCAGAAGAAACAAGCTCAGGATCAGAGGCTGAAATCCCAGACAGTTCAAAATGTGGTATTGATGCCTGTGAGCACTCCTAAGCCTCCAAAAAGGCCTCGACTCCAGCGGCCAGCCTCCACCACCGTCCTGAGCCCATCTCCTCCTGTCCAGCAGCCTCAGTTCACAGTCATCTCACCCATCACCATCACCCCAGTGGGTCAGTCATTTTCCATGGGCAATCTTCCAGTGGCCACCCTCAGCCAGGGCTCCAGTCCTGTGACTGTCCACACACTGCCTTCTGGCCCTCAGCTCTTCCGCTATGCCACAGTGGTTTCCTCTGCCAAGAGCAGCTCACCAGACACAGTGACCATCCACCCTTCATCTAGCTTGGCGCTGCTAAGCTCTACTGCCATGCAGGATGGCAATACCCTGGGCAACATGACCACTATGGTGAGCCCTGTGGAGTTGGTGGCCATGGAGTCTGGCCTGACCTCAGCAATCCAGGCTGTTGAAAGCACCTCAGAGGATGGGCAGACCATCATTGAGATTGACCCAGCCCCAGACCCAGAGGCTGAGGATACCGAGGGCAAAGCAGTCATTCTGGAGACAGAACTTAGGACTGAGGAGAAAGTTGTGGCCGAGATGGAAGATCATCAGCATCAAGTCCACAATGTGGAGATTGTGGTCTTGGAGGATTAACTGGGGATATTGGGGCCAGGAAATATGTTTTGGTTTGAAATTTTAATTATTTGTTTACTTTTGTCATTGTCCCACTCATTTCCATATAGGATCCTTTTTTTTTTTTTAAAAGAAAAACAAACTTCATTGATATAACTGAATATGTTGGTCCCTCCCACCCCGTCATTGAAAAAATGGACAAGACAAGCTGTCCTTCCAGAAGTTGAGAGTAGATCACTCAATGTCCTCATCCCCTTACACCAAGAAAGTTATTTCTTTTAGGGGAGGCATCAAGATAACCAGAAACCTATTCCAAAAGCCCTTTCCAGGCTAATCTATCTGTGTACGCATGTGGTTTTATTTTCTTAAAGATGCATTGACCAAACTGTAGAACACAGACCTGATGCTGGAAGGCACCCACTCACACACGGATGCAGAAGGAAATTCATTCTGTGTCCTGGAATGGGCCCTTAGAGGCCAGTGCAACGCTGAACGGAAGTTGAATTCTGCTTGGAGGGGGAACTCTGTTGGTTGGAGCAGCAGTTTAAAAAGGGAAGTGCTTTGGCCAGGATGGGGCAAAGAAATTATCTTATTTCCAGAAGTGCAACTGATGCCTCTTTGTATCTCTGAGGGTTACCACTCTAAGTGCCATTTTGAGGAGAGGCCAGTGGTAAGTGGAAGGTACGTTGGCTTGGAGCAAGTAGCATCAGGAGAAAAAGAAATCCAAGGATTGTCACAGCTGTGCTTTGGGACTCAAGCCCACCTTGCCCCCAACTTCGTCAAAGCACTTACCTTTCTAAACTAGGATCGGTCCATTAATCTGTGAACTGTGTGATATGGTGTCAATTACTCTGACTCTTGAACTGTGGCTGTTATGGGGGGAAGGCTCCAAGCCCATCTTTTTTATTGCATGACTCCAGGAGCAGAGGAATTCTTCATCCAGACCAGCTGCCCTTTTCGGTGGGGCCCTCTTTTGGCTTTGGAACCAAAAGCAGCCACTCATTTGGTGCTTCCTCTTTTACCCTCTATCCCTTAACTTGATGGCATCTGTCTCCTGGATCCCATGCTCTTCAGCTTTTTAGCTGATTTGGATAACAGTGACAGGTGCCTGCCTTCATACCCTTTTAGAGTCATTTATATCACAGATCTTTCTGTGAGATTGGGCTCATAAAAAAAGCCTTAGGCTTGGCAGGAAGACTCAACACCCCTAGCCTATCCTGAGTGGATGTCTCCTACTGAGCGAGCTGGACTCCCTGGGAAAGAAGCATTGTCTGCAACATTATATTATAGGAAATGTATCAGAAATGTCAATAATGTCATCTTTGGGGGGGGGGGGGTCTTGTTTTCTTTCTTTTTTTTTTTTTTAATGTTTTTTGTATATTTAGAGCTGGGCCGTTTTCTGTGCTTTAATTACTTCTCTTTGGTCATCTTCAGTGTTTGGGGCAAAGAGGACCTGGTTTTTATTTCTTTTGGTTTCACTGTTACTGCATTAGGAAAAATGTAGAAAAAAACTGCAGACAATTTAAAGGAAAAATAGGTTAAAAAAAAAAAAAAAAGATAGCACTCACCTGAGGAGTGGGAGGGTTGTTTTTTGTTTTTTTAATTAAAAACAAAACTTTGACCTATGGTTACTTTTTTTTTTTTAAAGAAGGCACCCACTTGAAGCCATGTTTCTTCCAGCTGATGTTGAAAACCCTGTTGTCAAGCAAGTGGGAACAATTCTGCTATCCCTCAGAAGGATGTATATAGCTGGAGAAGCCCTTTAACTTAGGAGGGTCAATCATATAAGCCTTAAGGGTGAGATTTCTGAACCTCATACAGTTGTAGTTTTCAACTTTAAAATTGTCTGGGGTTGTATTTTTCTTTTCAAGATACTTAATGTAGCAATCAGCTTAGAACAAACCTTTGGCCCTTTATATATCTTTAGTGAGAAAAGTGGCTTTTTTTCCCCTTGCTTCTTTAGGTTTCCTGTTAGTACATAAACACAACCAATATTTCTGTCTAAGGCTAAAACTGCTACTTGAACCTAGAAAAGGCATATTGTCCCTATTGTGGTTTTTAGGGACATTTTTCTCTTCCCAGAGACAGGAGCACCATTTCAGGACAGGAGGAGCCCCAAAGAACACCTATATACTAGTTCAGGTTTCTTTCTTCCCTCCATCAGAGTTGTTGGTAGTGTTTTAAAGTAGTGTGAACATTGTGCTTCCAAGTCAAGAGATTCTTGCTAACAAAGCCTGTTTACTTTTACTTTCTGAATATTACAGCTAGTGGAAATAATGAGCTTTGTTGTTTTCCTGGACTTCCAATAGCCTGTCATTATTGCTAGGTGCTATAGCACCCATTGATAAGTGGGAGTTCCCTAACAGCCCTGGTCTAGATGATCTCTTATGTATGTGATGAGACATATGCAAGCCATTGGTCTGTGCACAGGCATTTTCAATGAGTCATTCCTCAGGCTGACTTTGCAGTAGCCATCTATCTTTCTGTTCATTCATTCAATAAACATTTATAAGTCTGATCTATGTGCCAGGCTTTGTGCTAGGCACTGGCTATACAAAGGTGGAAACACAGTCAGTCTGTACACTCAAGGAATTCATACTCCAGAGATTGTCTGGAATTATATTTCAATATAATTGGTTTCCTTTGTAATCCTATGTATTTTATTTCATGCATTGAAAAGCATTATTACGAGAATTAATCCATAGGTTTCAGCCTATTACCAAAGGCAGAAAGAGTTAAGTCCTCTAGTGAGATACTGAAACATCTTTTAAAAAAATTATATATACAGCCGAGACCAGTTTGGCTCAATGGATAGAGCGTCGGCTTGGGGACAGAAGGGACCCGGGTTCGATTCTGGTCAAGGGCATGTACCTTGGTTGCAGGCATATCCCCAGTAGGGGGTGTGCAAGAGGCAGCTGATCAACTCTCTCTCATCGATGTTTCTAGCTCTTTATCTCTCTCCCTTCCTCTTTGTACAAAATCAATAAAATATTAAAAAAAAGATATAAAATTCCATAAAAATTATATATATATATTTATATTGGTGAGGAAGGGAGAAGGAGAAAGAGAAACATCAGTGATGAGAGAGAATCATTGATTGCCTCCTGCATGTCCTCTACTGGGGACTGAGCCCACATGTGCCCTGACTGGGAATCTTAACTGTGATCTCCTGGTTCACAGGTTGAAACTCAACCACTGATCTTATTGGAGTAAGCCCAGTTGGGTTCACAGTGACAAAAGTTCTTGGCTGAGAGCTGAGAAAACAAAGGATCAAGTACCTAACCCAATTTGGGGTCAGGGGTCAGTAAATATGGGATACTTTTCTGTTGGTGTGACCTTAAGCTGACTTGAGAGAGACCATTTTCAGCCACTTGTGTTCTTTTTGTACTCCATTTTCAAGTAGTTGGGTTTATTTACCGGATTTTCCATCAGATGAATCCAGTGCAAGACTGGAATTTGGCTGGTGGAAGGTAAATGCCCCAAACCTTCCTGTCATGCAGTTTCTACAAAGGCCTCAAGAGTCACCTTGGCCATGTCCCTATTTGGCCCCCACTTTATTATCTTCTCCGTTTCAGGCTCCTTCCCTGTCCCCCACCTCCCACAAAACAAAAATCACTCTCAGTTATTTTGAAATAAAAATGGACAATAGACTTGAGTATTCAGGATTCAAAGTCACTTCACTGAAGTTTCTTTTACATGACTGTCCACATTAGAGAAGAAGAACCAACGTTAATTCAAATTCCTTGGAAAATAATATTCAGTTTAAGTGATATGATGCTCTTTAGAGGTGCATTTTACGGAAATTTTATCCCATTTCCGTAAAATGCACGAAAGCCAAGTTTGTATAGTAGGAAGTATAGGTATTGGTAACATTTTATTATAAAAATAGTACTAGTAAAATCAAGTATGAAATATGGTATTACTAGTTCATTGAGTTATAATGGGTCCAGGTCAAGGAAGAGAAAGAAAAGATGGCATTCTGAAAACATGCATGAGTTTGGGTTCACTTTGGGCAATACTCATGTGGAAATAGTCCTTTTTGAGAAAAAATTCAGATACTAGACTAGCTCCCCCTGCATTTTCAGATAACTTACCTAGTACGGTTCCCTCACACTTAGGATACCTCCTTCCTGGGAAATTCTTGTGTAGTCTGTAATGTAATACAGTAATCACTGAGGTGGTTGCACTAGGCAAGGGACTTCATGGGATCAGTTCTGCTAGATTTGGACTTTCTTTGCCCCTGGAATTTATCTCCTAAGCTCTAATTGGGTCCTTTCCAGGTCTCCTTCCCAATTCTGGAACACCTTTTTTCCTGAGCTGTGCAATTTGACTTCCTCTGGAAGGTTCAACTTTAACTTCCTTATCCATGCCATTTCCCTAACCAAATTACATTTGGTTCCCAAATTCTGCCATGTTAGTAATTTTCAACTGGAGAAAATTATTTCTCAAGGCATTTCCAGGACCCAAACCTCAGCATACATCCAAAGACTGCTGTTTTCACTACCTACAATAGCCTTCCTAATGCTATTGAATTGAAATACCTTTGGGAAGTGCTAATGCACTGACTATAGCTAAGCTCCCCAGCACACACAGATTCTAAGACCTATTTTTTACATATGCTTGGCTTTCTACCTGTGGTTGGTGACTCAGGCTAAGCCACGCCTATTTCCTGGTTAACTCTTTAAGCCACGTATGATTCCTACTACTTCTTCACAACTACCAGAAATTTCTACTCTTGTGAGCCTCTCAGCCTAAAGATATCAGGTATCTTTTCAACAACCTAAAGTAGACCAGACCCTACTTTGAAATTGACTCTGGGTTCTCCTGCATGTGTGGTTTCCAATTCTCGATCTTTACAGGTCATTATGGCTTGTAATGTGTGTGTGTGTGTGTGTGTGTGTGTGTGTGTGTCTACTTTGAGGACAAGAATGAACAATAGTATTGGATCACATATAAAGGTAAGTATGATCACATATAAGGATAAGGGTAAGTTCCTCATTGGGCTTTGTAGTAGGAGCCTCTCTAAGGAAAGCATACACAGAAAGATTTACCTGCATTTCAAAATTAATTTGGTTTTTTTTTTTTTTTTATGTTTTCTCTCAAGAAATTATGTATTACAGAGCAGACTAGAATTCCACAGTCCTGATTCAGCCTGAAGACTTACTTTGACCCATGTTTTTATTTGTTTTAACTTTTTATTGAAGTACAAATGCAAACAGGGAAGTGTTCACAATTCACTGCACAATTTGATAAATTTAACAGACTGAACACACCCATGAAATCAGTTTCCAGATCAAGAAAAAAAATTTTACCAGCCAAAACCGGTTTGGCTCAGTGGATAGAGCGTCGGCCTGTGGACTGAAAGGTCCCAGGTTCGATTCCAGTCAAGGGCATGTACCTTGGTTGTGGGCAAATCCCCAGTAGGGGGTGTGTAAGAGGCAGCTGATCTATGTCACTCTCTCATTGGAAAGCATGTTTCTAACTCTCTATCCCTCTCCCTTTCTGTAAAAAATCATAAAATATATTTTTTTAAAAATTTACCAGCATCTCACCCAGCCAGGGTAGCCACTACACCATAGCTCTAAAACCATAGAGCTTTTCCCCCCCCTCAACATTAAATTGTGAGATTCACCCATAATGTGTAAAAACTGTAGTTGGTTCCTCCTCATTGCTGTGTAGAAACTGTTACTATGCCACAGCTGATCCATTCTAACGGTGGGCACTTGGGTAGTTTCCAGTTGAAATTGACTCTGGGTTCTCCTGCATGTGTGGTTTCCAATTCTCGATCTTTACAGGTCATTATGG